GGCAATTTAGCCCGTGTTTGAACATTTGGAAAAAGGGTCTTTTTGTCTTTTTTAGTATCCAATACGCCATTCCAATCACCCATCATTATACATAATTTATAACCCATTTGTATTAATTTTTTATGCAAAAGTTTATAAAATTTCTCTTGTTGTTGATTAGGTGCATATACTCCCACTAAAAGTATTTTCTTCCCTTCTATTAATAATTCAATCATTATATATCTTCCTTGTGGATCTGCTTCAATTAATTTAGCCATTAAATTAATTTAGCCATTAATCTGTTCTTAGGTATATAACTATACCATTTTTCTTCTCAGGAGCTGATGCAACAAAGTGTTTGCCCAGTCTAGCATTTATTAAGTATTTCTGATCACTTGTTCTAATATGTGTTTCTTGCAAGCAGATTACATCATTTTTAAACTGTTTCAAATAGTGAAATATTTTCTTTCTCTTTTGTGGTGAGTTTAGGCCATTAACATTCCAGGTCAAAAGTTTATTTGCCATCCTTGGCCCCTGAAAGTTTATGGAGCACTGACTGGAAGTCCTCCTGGAATTTCCTCTTCGGTCTAGCTCCTCCCACAGCTTCCATATTTGTAGTTGCAATTTCTTGGGTTATTATTTGACTTTGTTGCTTCTTTAATTCTTGTTCTTTACGTTTGGTTGCTGCTCGAGTTTGTCTTTGATCCTTGGGGTCTTCCATTTTTTCAAATAAATCCAAAAGTTGAACATCCTCTGAGAGTTGCAATAATTCTTGTTGAGTAGTCAAAACATCTCCTTGAGCTTGTGCCTGCATAATTTCCTTTTCCCCCTTTCTGACCTCTCCTGGTTCTTTCCTTCTTCTGACATCTGGAGATGGTGGGTTTCCAGCCTTTAGTATGGTAGTGTAAAAATCTCTTGCCTTACAAACTGAGTTGAGACGATGTCTCTCACCCAAATAATTCACCACTAATTCGGCTGGACCTTCCCATCTGTACTGCAACTGACGCCTTCTAAGTTCATCAATTAAAAATGCATAGTCCTTTCGAGATCTCAACATTTTTGGGGGAATTCCCTTCATTACTGAAACCTCCTGTCCTGACACTTGAAGTTTCTTCTTATAAGAGACTTGTAAAACTCCATTTCTTGTTCTCCTATTGTGATAAAGTAAATCACAATATCTCTTGGTAATTGTCTCTGCCTGGCAATCCATGAATTAACGTGATAAATTTTGTCTATTTGCCAGTCACACTCTGCTTTAGACTTTCCAGTAAACTGAGCAAGGGCTTCTGCAAAAATCTCTCTGAGATTTTCCTGGTTATTTTCTTTCAAGCCTCTGACCCTTACTGCCCATTCCATCGCTCTGTATTGTGTCATTATGAGTTCTGCTTCTGCCTTTTCCATCTTGTTTTGAGCCTCCCCCAATTTAGCTTCCACATTCAAATTAAACTGATCAATTTCATCCACCCTTTCTTCCAATGATGTAACATGACCCACCAGTCCCTTAAATGCTTCCACAATATCTTCTCTTATTGCATCATTTTGGGTTTGAATTGTTTCTTTAATTTCAAGCAATTCTCAGACACTCCTTTAATTTTTTCCTCAAAACGGAGTGTGATTTTTTCTTCCAAATCAGTAGACAATTCAGTAGTCAGTTTCTTTAAAGCTCCCTGAAGAACTTCTAGTGTCAGTGTTTGTATATCTAGTGGGGCTAACAAAGACTGCATTTTTGATGTTTGAGCTGGAGAAGTCCCCGCACTTTTAGTCACAACAGTTTTTATTTGCTTCGCAGCCATCTCCAACACTTGCCCACCAACCACTCAGCAGAACTAACAGGTCTTCTTAATCTTAGTCCTTAATAATTATTATGGCTTATTGATAAGTCAATATTGTATTCTTTAATTTCCAATCCTCAAAATTCCCCAACAAAGTCTTTTAAGAGGTACTGACAGCGTTAACGAGCGTTAATGAGCGTTAACAAGCACTTTCTCTTTTAACTTTCGGTTTCACGCCCTTAAGCATCTCAGCACCATCTTTTTTAACTTTCTCCCATCTCAAGCTCCGAAGGAAGTGGTAATTTATTAGAGTTAAAGTTTAGTACTTGCAGTTTTGATTTCTCCTGTCTTGCTCTGCCTGCTTTACGTCCAATCGCTGTGAAATCATTTAGTTCGCAGGGGTGGTCGCGGCGCCTTGTTCTGTTAAAAAACAGACACGTCCCGGATCCGGAGCTTCTTCAGGTGCTTGGGGAGCTCTTACCCTCTGCGCCCCAGGATTAATCCTAGGGGTCTTGGGGAGCTCTACCCACACCTGCCTGCTCGCCTTCCCCTCTTCTCCCAAGGGGAAAGTTCCGAGCCGCTAGAACAGCTGATTTTCGCTGCTTTAGCGGCTTTACGAAATCGCGGAGGTTAGCGCTCCGAAAGGAGCTGCCGCCGACGCCTGCGGTGCCACCGGAAGTTTGAGATTTCTTGTAGTCATCTAATGGGCATTATTAAGATGCCATGCTTGGTGACTATGGGAGTGACCTTTCTCCCTGTCCTTTTCAAATGAATCAAATTGTTTCTTCACAACTGAATAAGAATTAGTCTTAAATTGTAGAGACCATTCTATGTACTCCAGATCAGTACAGAAGATAGCATATTACACACCTTATAGACTTTTTTATAAGAGAAATGCAATTTCTAAGCATTCTAATTACATAGTCTTGTTCCTGTGTATAAAGTAAAGTGACCTTGCTCTATATTATTTAAGGGAAATAGTAAAGCAAAAGTAATTTTTCCAACATGCTAGTTTTCTTTGCGTTGCAAAAAACAGTTAAAATATAGGAATCTCCAGCTGTAGTTAGAAGCAGAATAGTTCCAGAAGGACTTTATACTAAATTATGGACACAATGGTGTTAAAGATATTCTTGGCTCATAACCGATGTTATGGGTTATGGAGCAGAGTACCCCTTGAGTATGCACATGAAAACGGCTGAGAGTGTTTATGAATAATCACAGTTAATATACTGACACACTGAGTTGTGGTAGTCTTTTACTTTTAGGAAAAAGTCAAGCAAAGTCCAATAACAATCCAAGTCATACATAGATAAGGCGATAGTTAAAATATCAGTTCAGGGATATTCCAAGTACAAAGTCGTCTTACCAGTTGTTGTCATTACACAATAAAACAGTTCTTCTTGAGTTTCAAGCAGGAACAAGTTCAGTATGCTCTCTACTTGGGGCTGCCCTTGAAGACCACTCGGAAGCTTCAGCTGGTACAGAATGCAGCCACGTGGGTTGTGATGGGAGGGTCCCAATACTCCCATATTACACCTCTCCTGCGCAACTTGCATTGGTTGCCGGTTGCCCTCCGGGTGAGTTTCAAGATGCTGGTGATGACCTATAAAGCCCTACATGGCTTAGGCCCAGGATATTTGTCGGACCATCTGCAACCAGGAACAGCTTCCCATCGCCCGGTGTGTTCTCACAGGAAGGGCTTACTCAGGGTGCCGTCGGCTAGACAATGTCGGCTAGTGGCCCCCAGAGGTAGAGCTTTCTCTGTGGGCACGCCCACCCTTGGAACCACCTGGGGCTCCGGTTGGCCCCTGACCTTCGCACCTTCTGCCGCGAACTAAAGACATGGCTGTTTAAATCACCCAGCCTGGACTGATGGGGTTCGATTATTTTAATGAGTTTTAACATACGTTTAATTTGTATTTTAATATGTTTTTATCTGGTTTGATTTTAATTGTTGTGAGCCGCCCTGAGTCCTATGGAGATAAGGCGGCATAAAATCAAATTAAATAAATAAATTAATTAATTAAAACATTCAATAAATAGTAGAAAGCTACAAGTAGCAATGATCAAACAGTGATCATGGAGAGAGAACAGGTAGAGAATAACAGCAAATAAGCAGGTAAAATGGTGTAGTGTCCACAAGGGATGATTCAGGCTTCTCCTTAAGTACATTGGCTACAGAGCTTAGCCAATGAGGATACAGGATGATGCAATACAGTCTTAAAGCAATGTAATACCTTTTGACAAACATGCATTGATAGTTTATATATTGCCTGACCAACTAGTTAGATAATAGCCATTTCTTAACAAATGGGTTAGAAAAAAAAATTTGGAATGTTTGTTTGACAGCAGTGAGAATTCTGTATGCACAGAAATGGAAAGATGCACCAATCCCAAAACCGGAGAATGGATGAAAAAATGATGGTGCTTGCAGAAATGGCAAAACTGACTATTTTAATAAACATATCCAGCGTTGTTTCTACTTGGAAACTGTGTCTAGATTTTGTGCTCGAGACAGAAAAAAATGAATTTTTGATGCCAGTTAATATAATTTGCTTTTATAGAAATGGCTAGTACTTGTTAAGTTGCTAAAGTAAAAAGTTGAGACTGTAATTCTATTCTGTAGAGGTAGTCCTCAACTTACAACAGTTATTTGGTGACCATTCAAAGTTACAACGACACTAAAAAAAGTGATTTATGGCCATTTTTCACACAACCTTTCTAACATCCTTATGATTGTGTGATCAGAATTCAGATGCTTGGCATTTGGTTAATACTTAAAACCACTGCTACGTCCCAAGGTCATGTGAGCGCCTCTTTGTAATCTTCTGACAAGCAAAATCAATGGGGGAGCCAGATTCACTTAACAACCATATTACTAAATTATCAACTGCAATGATTGGCAGGAAAGGTCGTAAATGGGGCAAAACTCCCACTTAACAAATATCTCACTTAACAGTGAGTCGTAAGTCAAGGACTACCTGTACTTTCCTGTACTGTAAAAAGTTAGAATTCAGTGCTTTCACTTTCTTTTCCCCCTTTGCCCTACAACTTTCTTTCCTTTTTCTTTCCCATTTTCCTGTCATCTTTATTTTCATCTGCATTTTTATACTACGATGATTTTAATTCTTGTAAACAATGAAAAAAAATACATAATGCACCCGACAATTTATTGCAGTGTGGAAATGCTCTTCCAGACTTTTTTTTTTAAAAAACCCATTTTTATTTCCTTTTTTTTCTTTCTTGTAGCTCCCCCAAAGATTCTCGGCTCTACCTGGTTTATACACATGACTCAGATGCTCTTTCTCATTCCTTTGATGAGCTTCAACTCTTTGATGACAGTTCATCAAATCTAGTATCGGTAAGACTGTTTTCTGAAGGACCTTACCTGGAGTCACATACTCTGGAAAAGGAATGAAGGAAAACTAAAAGCAGAATGAGGCTTTGTGGAAAAAAAGACAAGCTGTTAATATGGGTTTTTTTTTCAGGCAGAAGCCTTGGTTTAGGAATGTTTTGGGAACAGTTTTGTGCATTATTTTGAACCAAAAGGGATCAAATGTTCAATAAAGGTGTTGTGCATACTCTTAAGCAGGGATGTGAAATTAGTTTAATATATTAGATCAGTGATTCTCGACCTTGGCAACTTTAAGATGTTTGGACTTCAGTTCCCAGAATTCCTCAGCCAGCCATGATATCTGGGGAGTTCTTGTAGTTGAAGTGCAGATATCTTAAAGTTGCCCAGGTTGAGAAACACTGGGTTTAGACAATAAGGCAGCAAGTGAGAATCCAGAACTGTGTCTTTGATCTTTTGAAAACTCAAGCAGGCTGGATATTTTTATTCGTACTATGCTTTTCAACTCCTGCATCCAAAAATGGTGTATAAGAAAAATATTTACAAAGATTTCATAGAACTAGAAATTATAGAACATAGAACATCATCAGAATTGGAAGGTACTTTGGAAGTCTTCTAGTCCAACCCCCTGCTCAAGCAGATCTATACCATTTCAGACAAATGGCTGTCCAGTCTCTTAAAAGCCTCTGGTGATGAAGCACCAACAACTACTGGAGGCAAGTTGTTCCACTGGTTAATTGTTCTCACTGTTAGAAAATTTCTCCTTAGTCCTAAGTTGCTTCTTTCCTTGGTTCGTTTCCATCCATTGCTTCTTGTCTTGCTTTCTAGTACTTTGGAAAATAAGTTGAGCCCCTCCTCTTTGTGGTGGCAGTCCCTCAAATATTGGAATACTGCTATCATATTACCCCTAGCCCTCCTTTTCACCAGACTAGATATACCCAATTCCTGCAACTGTTCTTCATTAGTCTCCAGTCCCCTAATCATCTTTGCTGCTTTCCTCTGCACTCTTCCCAGGGTCTCAACATCTTTTTTTATAACATGATAACCAAAACTGGATGCAGGATTCCAGATGTGGTCTTACCAAAGTTTTATAAAGCAGTATTAACACTTCATGTGATCAGGATTCTGTTCCTCTCTTAACGATTGAGTGTGTGAAGCTGCACCATCAGGTTCTGGGCAAACATGATTTGAGTTCAGGTTTCAAGAAGTGGATTATAGACTGATAGTTGAAAAAGAGGTTTAGCCACTTCGGCAGCTATTCACACCACCAGCTGCTATTTACACTGGAAGAAAGTAAACTATATTGGAGAGGGCTGCAATTATATCCTGAGTACTAACTGCAGAGTTTCAGATACATGGGTACTGCTGAGATGATTAGCGCCAGACACTCCTAGACCACAGATTAATTAGGCGCTATGAATAATATGCAACATGCATTTGATGCAGTGAGGTTTAACAAGTAGTCCTCCCTTAGCGACCCAAAATTGGGACTGGCAACTTTATTGCCAAGCGCCACAGTTGCTAAATGAAGCGTCATGTGACTGTGACTTAATGATTTTACTTCCACCTTCTCTGTGATAGAGAAGTAATAACTGTAATAACACAGTAATAACTGTGCTTATTGCAAGCCAGTTGTGAAGCACACAAACGGCGATCACATGACTGGTATGCTACAGTGGTTGTAAATGCTTGTTGGTTGCAAAGTTGTTGTTGTTGTTTTTTTGCACTGTCGTAACTTTAAATGGTTGCTAAAAGAGGCAGTAAGTGAGGACTACCTGTAGCTATAAACACGTTGTGGTTGTTTTTCCTCCTAGCGATTCCTGCAGGATCCTTATGCTGCCACGTTTGGCGGCTTCTCCAAAGTTACCAATTTCTTCCGTGGAGCTCTGCACCAGGAAGATGGGCTCACCCACCATTCACTTGGTGACTCAGCAGCTGCCAATGTGGAGGAAGAGACAGGCTTTGAAGTCATCACCTGTGTGAGTGTTGAAATAGGCAATTTTGACAACTGGCAGAGATGGCAACCAGTCAAGGGGGAAGAGGTGTTTTCTGGCTCAAGGAATGGTTGGTTATCCTTTCTGCCACCTGTTTTCTCAACTGTCATAGAGTTACTGAAGATGTGGACATGTTGTGGGGGGAGCTTGTAAAAATGCAACAAATGGAACACTGTAGAAGGAGCAGATTACAAGCAAACTCTTCAAAGAAAATCCCCTCCCCTTGATCAAAGAGCAGCCAGCCAGTCTTTAAACACAGAAGCTTAAATGGACCCATTTGTTCCAACCTTAGAACAAATCTGTGAAATGATGTGTGGGAGGAGTGGCAGCTAGTTTGTTAGAGTGGCTTATGCTGCCTTGTCATGTTTATACATGCATCTGTCAGTTTTATATATTTGTGTACCTAGTCCTCCCATCAGTGGAGTGACTACACAAGTGATTCATGAGGACTAAAAAAACTTCACGCCCAGTGTGAAGCTGCTGTATTAGTAGCTTAACGTCCAAGGTATCTTGACATTTTATAAAAACTCATAAAGTTTTGTAGGACTGAGAATCTGATTCAGCTTCTGGGTGATAGCCCTTAACTTATAGATTTCTTCCAGCAAAAATGGCAGCTGTGGTTGCTCTTAAGAGGATTTCAAACCTTACATTTGTGTTTTTTGAATTTTAACTGAATGATATTTGCTGAGGGTATTTTAAAAGTGTGTCATACTTGGAACTGGCTTGAAGAGCTAACTATATTGAAAATGATTATACTATGCTAATATGTTTATTCTATAAGCTTCCTTCAAAAGATTATGCTCTTAAAAGTAAAAATAATCAAATAAATAAATAAATAAATAAATAAATATATTATTATTATTATTATTATTATTATTATTATTATTATTATTATTATTATTATTATTATTATACAGACGCCAGGTCTGTAGTAAATAAAGCCCCCTCCCCCATTTGTGATCTTGTTCAGGAGGGTGGAGCGGACCTGGCGGGTATTACGGAGACCTGCTTGGGCCCGGAGGGAGGGATCCCTCTGGTAGAAATGTGCCCACCAGGCTTCCATGCATTCCATCAGCCGAGGTCACAGGGGAGGGGCGGGGGAGTAGCGGTTATTATTAGAGAAGGCCTTAGGCCGAGGGAGACCACTGTTCCTCAGACGGCCGGCTGTGAGTCCCTCCTTGTGAAGTGGGGCCATGGGGTTCAGATGGGTTTGCTGATCACGTACCTGGCTCCCTCCCACGTGGCAGCAGCCCTGCCCGAGCTACTCAACGTTATCATTGCGGTGGCGGTTGATACCCCCAGACTTATGGTCATGGGGGATTTTAACCTGCCGTCTGTGGGTGAGGCGTCTGAGGTGGCTCGGGAGTTCATGGCTTCCATGACGGCCATGGACCTGACCCAGCTAATTCATGGCCCTATGCACATGGGGGGAAACACACTGGACTTGGTTTTTGTCTCTGGACAGTAGTTGAGTGATCTTGAGATAGGGGACATAGTCATCGAGCCCTTGTCATGGTCGGATCACTCTCTCCTTCGCCTTGACCTTCGAACTGCGGTACCCCGCCGCAGGGAGGCGGAACCAATAAGATGGTACCGCCCCAGGCGCCTGATGAAACCTGATAGGTTCCAGATGGAGCTTGGGCCAATCCCTGAGGATCTGGCTCACGCCTTGACTGGAGACCTAGTGGCTGCCTGGGACAGGGCAGCCACTGGAGCTCTGGATTGAGTCGTGCCTTTGCGGCCTCTGACCCGGCGCCGATCTCACCTGGCTCCTTGGTTCACTGAGGAGATGAAGCGCCAGAAAAGACGCCTAGAGAGTAGTTGGAGGGCTAGTCTTTCTGAATCGGACCGGACACTGGTAAGATCTCATATTAAGAATTACCTAGTGGTGATAAAAGCAGCAAAAGGTACTCATTTTGCTGCTCTTATTGCATCATCAGATAATCGCCCGGCCGCCTTGTTTAGGGTGACCCGCTCCCTGCTCCACCAGGAAGCGCGGGAGGACCCCTTGGAGGGAAGAGCCGAGGATTTTGTTCAGTATCTGCATGACAAAATAACTCAGATTCGGGAAGGTCTGGACTCTGAGTGGGTAGGTCCAGCGAGGGTGACAGAGGCACGTCTTGAGAATGTTATCTAGGATGAGTTTGATCCTGTGGCTCCAGATGACATGGACAGGATTCTGGGTAGATTGAACGCAACCACATGTTTGTTGGACCCGTGTCCCTCCTGGTTAGTGCTGGCTTCCCGGGAGGTGATGCGAGGCAGGGGATTATAAATGCTTCATTGGGTGAGGGTGCCTTCCCCGCCGCCTTGAAGGAGGCGGTGGTGAGGCCTCTCCGCAAGAAGCCCTCCTTGGACCCGGCAGTATTGGCTAATTATCGTCCAGTCTCCAACCTTCGCTTTGTGGCGAAGGTTGTTGAGAGTGTGGTTGCGCGACAGCTTCCCCAGTACCTGGATGAAACGTCGTATCTGGATCCGTTCCAGTCGGGTTTCAGGCCTGGGTACAGCACGGAAACGGCATTGGTCACGTTGGTTGATGATCTCTGGAGGGCTCGGGACAGGGGTTGCTCCTCTGTCCTGGTCCTGTTAGATCTCTCAGCGGCTTTTGATACCATCGACCATGGTATCATGTTGTACCGGTTGGAAGAGTTGGGGGTGGGAGGCACCATACTATGGTGGTTCTCCTCCTTTCTCTCTGACCAGTCGCAGTCTGTGTTGACAGGGGGGCAGAAGTCGACCCCGAGGCCCCTCATATGTGGGGTGCCACAGGGATCGGTCGTCTAGCCCCTTTTGTTCAACATTTATGTAAAGCCGCTGGGCAAGATCATCCGTGGTTTCGGGATGAAGTACCATCAGTACGCTGACGACACCCAGCTGTAACTCTCCACCCCGGACCACCCCACCGATGCCCTTGAAGTGATTTCCCGGTGCCTGGAGGCCGTACGGATCTGGATGGGGAGAAGCAGGCTCAGGCTCAACCCATCCAAGACCAAGTGGCTGTGGTTACCGACGTCCCGATATAGTCAGCTGGTGCCATCGCTGGCTATTGGGGGCGAATCATTGGCCCTCACGGAAAGGGCTCGCAACTTGGGCGTCCTCCTGGATTCACGGCTGTCTTTAGAAGAGCACTTGACGGCCGGGACCAGGAGGATTTTTCATCAGGTTCGCCTGATCCTCCAGTTGCGTCCCTTTCTAGATTGGGACTCTCTACACACAGTCACTCATGCCCTCGTCACCTCTCGTCTGGACTATTGTAACACTCTCTACATGGGGCTCCCCTTGAGGTGCACTCGGAGGCTCCAACTGGCGCAGATTGTGGCCGCGCGGGTGGTTATGGGAGCGACGTGGAGTTCCCATGTAACACCTCTCCTGCGCGAGCTGCACTGGCTCCCGGTGGTCTTCCAAGTGTGCTTCAAGGTTTTGGTTATCATCTTTAAAGCTTAGGACCTGGTTACCTACGGGATTGCCTGCTACCACAAATAGCCTCCCACCGGCCAGTACGCTCCCATAGAGAGGGGCTCCTCAGGGTGCCGTCGGCCAAACAATGTCGACTGGCAGCCCCTAGGGGGAGAGCCTTCTCTGTGGGGGCACCTACGATCTGGAACGAGCTCCCCCTGGAGATACAGAGGATCCCGGATCTGCGCACTTTCCATTGCGCGCTTAAGACTTTTTTATTTCATCAAGCTGGCCTGGCCTAAATATTCTCCCCTTTTTAAATGTAAATTTTAATTTGTTTTTAAATTTTGAGGTATTTTAAATTTGTTCAGCCAAATTATTTAATTCATTTTTATTCTATTTTAAATTTTTGTATTTATGTGTTTTATCCTGTGGCTGTTCACCACCCTGAGTCCTTTGGGAGTAGGGCAGTAGAGAAATTTAATAAAATAAAATAAATAAAATAAATTATTATTAATTAAATTTTTATACCGCCCTTCTCCTGAAGGACTCAGGGCGGTGTATAGCCATATTAAAACAAACATATACCATAAAATTTAAAAACAATTTAAAATATATAAAAATTTGGCCCTTCTATTAAAAACTACAAACACCCAATTAAAATTCATGCAGGGGGATGAAGCGATGGGCATTAGTATAGTAAGTGGGAGGGGCAGATATGACGGCTGCAGGGGGCCATATTATGTTTCGGGAGTGCGCACTCGTTGTTTACGAGCGATTGCCCACTCCGACCCCATAAGCACTGCTCGTTTCCCAGGTTGTTCAGAGTCTCAGACCCTGGGTCTATGGCTGATGTTATGTAATGCCAGGTCAGTGGTAAATAAAGCCCCCCTCATTCATGATCTTATTTCAGAGGGGGGTGCTGACCTGGCAGGGATTACGGAGACCTGGTTAGGCCAGGAGGGAGGAGTTCCCCTTGTGGAAATGTGCCCGCCAGGTTTCCGTGCATTCCATCAGCCAAGGACTCAGGGAAGGGGTAGGGGAGTGGCAGCAATCATTAGAGAAAATCTTTGCCCGAGGGAGGCCACTGTTCCTCAGATAGCCGGATGTGAGTCACTCCTTGTGAAGTGGGGTCGGGGAATTCAGATGGGCCTACTGATTGCATACCTGGCTCCCTGCCACGTAACAGCGGTCCTATAGACCCGGCTATATTATCAAATTATCGTCCAGTCTCCAATCTTCGCTTTGTGGCGAAGGTTGTTGAGAGTGTGGTGGCGCGACAACTACCCCGATACCTGGATGAAGTTGTCTATCTGGATCCGTTCCAGTCGGACTTCAGGTCACGATACAGCACGGAAACGGCATTGGTCGCGTTGGTGGATGATCTCTGGAGGGCTCGGGACAGAGGTTGCTCCTCTATCCTGGTCCTATTAGATCTCTCAGCGGCTTTCGATACCATCGACCATGGTATCTTACTGCACCGGCTGGAGGGGTTAGGAATAGGGGGCACCGTGCTTCGGTGGTTCTCCTCCTTCCTCTCTGACCGTTCGCAGTTTGTGTTGGCAGGGGGGCAGAGGTCAACCTCTAGGCACCTTATTTGTGGGGTGCTGTAAGGGTCAGTCCTCTCACCCCTTCTGTTTAACATTTATGTAAAACCGCTAGGCGAGATCATCCGTGGTTTCGGGGTGAGTGTTCATCAGTATGCTGATGACACACAGCTATACATCTCCACCCCAGACCACCCCAATGATGCCCTTGCTGTGATGTCCCGTTGCCTGGAGGCCGTGCGGATCTGGATGGGGAGAAACAAGCTCAGACTCAACCCCTCCAAGACCGAGTGGCTGTGGCTTCTGGCGTCCCGGTATAGTCAGCTGGTACCATCACTGACAATAGGGGATGAGATCTTGCTCCCCACAGAGAGGGCCTGCAACTTGGGTGTCCTCCTGGATTCACGGCTATCTTTAGAAGATCATTTGACTGCCGTGGCCAGGGGTGCCTTTTATCAGGTTTGCCTGATCCGCCAGTTGCGGCCCTTTCTGGATCGGGACGCCTTGCGCACTGTCACTCATGCCCTAGTTACCTCCTGTATGGACTACTGTAATGCTCTCTACATGGGGCTCCCCTTGAAAAGCACCCGGAGGCTCCAACTGGTCCAGAATGTAGCCGCGCGGGTGATTATGGGCGCAGCTCGTTACGCCCATGTAACACCTCTCGTACGTGAGCTGCACTGGCTCCCGGTGGTCTTCCAGGTGCAATTCAAGGTGTTAGTTATCACCTTTAAAGCGCTCCATGGCTTAGGACCTGGGTACCTACGAGACCGTCTTTTGCCACCAATAGCCTCCCACCGACCAGTTCGTTCTCACAGGGAGGGACTACTCAGGGTACTATCAGTCAAATTATGTCGACTGGCGACTCCCAGGGGGAGGGCCTTCTCTGTGAGGGCTTCAATCCTTTGGAATGAACTGCCCTCGGAGATACGGAATATCCCTGATCTCCGTGCTTTCCGCCGTGCCCTCAAGACCCTGATGTTCCAACAGGCGGGGCTAAACATATGAACATGTGAATGATTTTTAAATGTTATCTAATTCTGGGTTTTTATTTAATTGGCCAAACTAAGTAATAATTTTAATTAGCAATTTTATGATGTTTGTGTGTGACTGTACACCGCTTTGAGTCCTACCGGAGAAAGGCGGTATAGAAATATAATAAATAAATAAATAAATAAAATTCAATTTCTAAGCCAGCCTGGCCTGTTGAAACAAAAGAGTCTTAAGGGCACGGTGAAAGGCACGTAGGTCGGGGATCCTGCGAATCTCCAGGGACAGTTCGTTCCAGAGGGCAGGTGCCCCCACAGAGAAGGCTCTCCCCCGGGTGTCGCCAGTCGACATTGTTTGGCCGATGGCACCCTGAGGAGTCCCTCTCTGTGGGAACGTATTGGCCGGTGGAAGGCTATCGGTGGCAGAAGGCGATCTCGTATATACCCAGGTCCTAAGACATGGAGCGCTTTAAAGGTGGTAACCAACATCTTGAATCGCACCCGGAAGACCACCGGGAGCCAGTGCAGCTTGCGCAGGAGGGGTGTTACATGGGTGCGCCATGTCGCCCCCATAATCACCCGCGTGGCCGCATTCTGGACCAGTTGGAGCCTCCGAGTGCTCTTCAAGGGGAGCCCCATGTAGAGAGCATTACAGTAGTCGAGACGTGACGTGACAAGGGCGTGAATGACCGTGCGCAAGGCGTCCCGGTCCAGAAAGGGACGCAACTGGTGAATCAGGCGAACCTGATAAAAAGCTCCCCTGGCCACAGCCTTCACATGGTCTTCTAAAGACAGCCGTGCATCCAGGAGAACACCCAAGTTGCGAGCCCTCTCTGAGGGGGCCAAGATCTCGCCCCCAATAGTCAGCGATGGGGCTAGCTGGCTATATTGGGACGCCGGAAACCACAGCCACTCGGTCTTGGAAGGGTTGAGTCTGAGCTTCTTTCTCCCCATCCAGATCCGCACGGCCTCCAAGCACCGGGACATCATGTCAAGAGCATCATTGGGGTGGTCCAGGGTGGAAATGTACAGCTGAGTATCGTCAGCCTACTGATTGAACTTCACCCCAAAACCACGGATGATCTCACCCAGCGGCTTCACATAAATGTTGAACAGAAGGGCGAGAGGACCGACCCTTGCGGCACCCCACAAACAAGGCACCTCGAGGTCGATCTCTGTTCCCCTGCCAACACAAACTGCGTACGATCAGAGAGGAAGGAGGAGAACCACCACAACACAGTGCCCCCCACTCCCAACCCCTCCAATCGGCGCAGCATGATACCATGGTATCGAAAGCCGCTGAGAGATCTAATAGGACCAGGACAGATGAACAACCCCTGTCCTGAGCCCTCCAGAGATCATCAGCCAATGCGACCAATGCCGTTTCCATGCTGTACCCCGGCCTGAAGCCCGACTGGTACAGATCTAGATAGACAGCTTCATCCAGGTACTGGGGAAGTTGTCGCGCCACCATACTCTCAACAACCTTCGCCACAAAACGAAGGTTGGAGACTGGACGTTAGTTCGCTAATACAGCCAGGTCAAGGGAAGGCTTCTTGAGGAGGGGCCTCACCACCGCCTTTTTTAGGGAGGGAGGGAAGAAACCCTCACTCAAAGAAGCATTAATAATCCCCTGAAGCCAGCCTCATGTAACCGCCTGGGAGGTCAGCACCAACCAGGAGGGACACGGGTCCAATAAACATGTGGCAGTGCTAAGCCTACCCAGAACCCTGTCCACGTCCTCGGGAGTCATAAGGTCAAACCCCTCCCAGATAACACTCTCAAGACCCACCTCCGTCACCCCCTCTGAATCTACCCAATCGGAGTCCAGGCCTTCCTGAATCTAAGGGGCTTTCTCATGCAGGAATTGCACAAAATCCTCAGCCCTACCCTGCAAGGAGTCTTCCCTCGCTCCCAAATGGAGAAGGGAGCGGATCACCCTAAACAGGGCTGCTGGGCGATTCTCTGGAGACGCAATAAGAGCGGGAAAAATAGTTATAGTACTACGTCAGCACTCGACTACTTTGAAACTCATCAAATTTGGTACTCAATGCATTTTGACACGAAAAATTTGTTCTGGTACTTATCATTTGTTTGGTAGTCATGCAAGCTAGAACTTGTTGGTGTCAGCTATCTTGTGAGTCACAACCCTTTCCAGCTGAAACAAAGGATCACATGTTAATTATGTGGTTTGTTTGGAACTCGTTTATATTATCTGTCGCACCTTTTGGAACCAATTAATGATGAGTACCAAGGTAACTAGTCCCTTGGGAGTTGGGCGGCATAGAAATGCGACAAAATAAATAAATAAATAAATAAAACTATCATAGTAGTTAACAGATTCACAACAGAATTTCTCCTTTGTAGATCTACTGCAGAGAAACTGGGAAGTTGCTTCTAGAACTTTTCAGTGTGAAAAGAATTTGCAATTTGTAGGCACATTTGACTATAGAAAGAGTTTTTTAGGCTCTTCAGCTTTACAACGTCCCTCTAATTCAAAAGAAGGAAAGTTTTAATCATTATCCTTTCTCCCTCCTTCCCTCTTGAGGAACTTTTCTTCTTCAGATACAATTGTTTTTTTAGCTTACTTTGTTCCTAGCAGCAGGCACAACTAGGAGAACGGCCCACTGTTCAAAGGGAGACCCCAGTTACCGAGCAGGAATGGGAACAACATCTGGATCCTGATGGACGTGTACTGGATCCCATTGGATTGCGGAAAAGGATCTTTGCTGGGGTGAGATTTGTGGGACGGAGGGCAGCTGGACCAGCATGCCTTGTGTTTCTGGAATAGAAGACAAGAAGAAATTATTGTGGCTGTTTATTGGAATGTCCATGTAAATTGGGCAGAGTAGCTTACTGGATAGTCTCGACCTATGACTTTTTTATGATGGTCGTAAAGTGAATGTGATGGTTGTAAAGTAAGCACTGTTGTATAGAAAACCCGTTGTCCATATTTGGCATTACTTTGCCGGAAACTGGAAGTAAATGCCAGTTTCTGTCAAAAAAAACAAAACAAAACCCTCACAAATCATAGTCATGTGACTGCAGGACACTGCAAACATACGTAAATGAAGGCTTGTTGCTAGTGCCCAAAATGTGATTATATGACTGCAAAGGCTGCCAAGCTGTCTGAACTTTGAATTGGGGGTCTGTCATAACATCAAACAGTTGTAAGTTAAGGTCCACCTGTAACTCTGTTTCCTACCACAGATTTAAGAATTGATGCAAGGTAGGTGCTTTGTTCTTTAATAATGTGGCTCATTGCTTTCTTCCTTTGAACTATTTTTTTTTGTCCCTTTCAGGGTCTCAGCATGTCATTACGTAAGGAAGTGTGGAAGTACCTTTTGAACTATTATTCCTGGGGCAACACCAGCGAAGAGAACAAGGCACAAGTGAGACGGAAAACGTAAGCCTAATTCTTCATCAGGGAGTGGCCTGTTTGAAGGAGAGCTAGTCCTGGTGCTTGGCAAGGACTATTGGGTCTGCAGAGATGACCTGAATCTGAGCATTTTCCCACTTCATTCTATCTTCTCTTCAGAGATGAATACTTCCGCATGAAGTTACAGTGGAAGTCGGTCAGCGAGGAACAGGAGCTCCGGAACTCTTTACTGCGAGGTTATCGCAGCCTTATTGGTTGGTATAAATTCTACTTGTTGGTTTTGAGGTTTATTCTCATTCTGTAACAGCACCTGGCAAATTTGTTTTTGCCCATCTTTTTTGCCAGTGGCCGGATTCGCAACTCCTGGAATTCTTAGCTATACTGAGCTACTGGCCTAAAGCAAAATCATTCTATTCATAAAAATCTATTCTCATATTACAGCCAGATGCTTCTAAACACAATCCTTTCTTCCTTTATTGTTTCCCAGTATCTAATATTGCAAACCATGTTTCCCCTTGAATGTGGAGCTTCGTCCCATTATCTGCTCTGGTTAATAGTTAATAATCAGTGCACAGAAGACAGAATCTTTTAAAGCTTTCCAAGACAGCAGCCATCACCACTACTTCTGACAGTACATTGTATAAATAAATTATGCATTATATAAATAAGTGCTTCCTTGAATCTGTTGCCAATCAGATTCAGTGAGTGATTTCCAAGTTCTTATATGCTACATCAGCAGCCCCAACCTTTTGGGCACAGGTATTTCTTCCGTGGAGAGAGCTTTTTCCACTGTCTGGAAGGGGCTTGGTTTCGTATACTCCATACACCCTGTGGATGGGGCTTCGCTTGCATGGCCCGGTTTCTGGCATGCCTTGAACCCATGCCGGTCCATGGACCTGGGGTTGGGGACCCTTATGCTACATTATAACAATAGCACTTAGACTTATATACCGCTCCATAGTGCTTTGCAGCACTTTCTAAGCGGTTACAGAATCAGCATATTGCCCCAATAATCTGGGTCCTCATTTTACCAACTTTGGAAAGATGGAAAGTTGAGTCAATCTTGAGCTGGTCAGGATTGAACTCTTGGCAGTGAGCAGTCAGCCTGCATAATGGCATTCTAACCTCTGTGCCACCACGGCTCATTATAAGGCAATGAGTCTGATCTCTATTTCTGCTTTCTCAGGGCCCTCATTCATAACATAATTGATTATTGATTTCTATTGAATCCCACCAGTGCTTGTCTTAATATTTTGGAACACCCTTTTTCTAATCTACATTGTCTAAACTGTGTGTATGACCATTTGTTCTTTCCTTGGGATACAATGCCTCCACCTTTCCACATTGTTTTATTTTCCTGATTTAGTTTGCCTTTTTTTAAAAAAACAAATTCCTTTCCTAAGTCATCCTTCTGAACGTTCTTTGTAAGGGGGCAGTACAGGTGAGTTTTATAAAGTTGTACTTGTGCCTTTGCAGAAAGAGATGTCAGTCGCACAGATAGAAACAACAAATTCTATGAGGGCAGTGAGAATCCTGGACTGGTACTCTTGAATGATGTGTTGATGACATACTGCATGTACAACTTTGATCTAGGTGAGTTCCAAGGAAAGGCACCAGTCCAAATCGTCATGGCTTAAGAGGGGGCTCTTAGAAACATAGAAAACTGATGGCAGAAAAACCCCAAATGGTCCATCATTGATTTATTTTTATTTGTAGTCATTATTTTTTTACTTCTATTTATTTTATTTTATTTATTTTATTTTTGTCAGATGATAGACATGTGTTTATCCCAAGCATGTTTAAACTCAGTTACTGACGATTGACCCACTACCTCGGCTGAAAGTTGGTTCCAAGCTTCTACTACTCTTTCTATGAAGTAATATTTTCTAACATTACTTTTGAACTTCCCTCCTGTCTGTTTGAGGTCACGCCCCCATATTCTTGATTTTTGCTTAATATTTGAAACTATTGCCTTTTGGAAGCCTAATAGGCAAAGATGGAAGTGTTGTAGGAAAAATGACGGACTAGGACAAGCTCTTCAGTGCAGGAAAGAGTTTTTATTTGCGCAAAGGTTCAAACAGTCCGAAGACCCCAAAAGTTTGAACAAAGATGGATGATTTCAACCAGATATTTATACAGTATAAAGACAAAGTTATTACGAAGAGTACAACATTTCACACGTAGAAGTTACCCTTTAATCTATCTCTAGGAAAGACATAACAGCATGGTTCCCACAGGCTCAGGCTTTCAGCTCCGGAGCTCAAGACATAACAAAAGGAGATAAGAGGCTAGAAGACGCCTCAAGGGCAATAAGGAAGCAGCACCCCTTATCCAGGGATATGCATGACATTTGGGATGCAATAAACATTAAACAACAGAATGTATCTGTTTAGGGTCAGTTTGCCCTTCTACAATTCTGTACCTACGTCAAATACCGTTTGTCATTTCAGCACCTTGGCACGGGAGAGGCACTTCTGTCTTGACCAAAGATTTGGATTTCTAATATTTGAGTTTTATCCCAATATCGAATCTTAGCCTGGCTCAGAAGGAAACAGAAGTATGGGTAGAAAGGAATAGATACAATGTAATCATGTGCAACTATGGGTTTAAAAAGAGTGCTTCAGAGGGCATCTTATTATAACCATCAGTGTTTCCGTAAACAAGGCACAAACCTGGGAAGCTGAGCCAGCAGCCATGTGACCTAGGACAGGATTGAATTAGTGAGGCACTGCCAAGGCACACAACACAGTCTTTGTGTTCATCACTGTCTTCTTAACATGTTTCCTAGAACCGGGTAAGCCCAGGAAAAGGTGCATGTTCTTTTAAAGAGTCATTGCAGAAAAGACAAGCATTATTAATTTGAAGCTTGAAAAAAATCACCTCAAATTAAGAAATTAACACTGTTGTTGTTCATTATTTCTTTTGCTTGCCTGAACAGGGTATGTACAAGGCATGAGTGATCTCCTGTCCCCCATTCTCTATATTACCCAGAATGAAGTCGATGCCTTCTGGTGCTTCTGTGGTTTCATGGAACTGGTGGTGCGTATGCTGCCTGGGTCAAAATAATAACTGTAACCATAATTAATTAATATATCCTTAGCCTCATTTTAATTTAAGGAAGCTTTGGGTCTTTGACCTGACTTGCTACTAGTTTCATTTTTAAAAAAATATGTTTTTGGATTATAATCTTGGTTTTGTATTTTAGCAAGTGCCTTGAAGACTACTTTTAGGAAAGAGGCTGGTATACAGATAGTCTTAGTTTACAACCACAATATCACCCAAAATTTCTGCTGCTAAGTGAGATATTTGTTAAGAGAAATTTTCCCCATTGTATGACCTTTCTTGCCACAGTTAAGTGAATCACTGCAATTAAGTTAGTAACACGGTTGTTAAGTGAATCTGACATCCTCATTTATTTTGCTTGTTAAAAAATCTGTATACATTTACTTAACAATAATTATTTCTCCCCATCGGTTTTTTCATGGTCTTCTGTTTTCTGCTTGCAGCACCACAATTTTGAAGAAAGCCAGGAGTCCATGAAACGCCAGCTTTCCCAGCTCACCTTGCTTCTTAGAGTGCTGGATCCCCCACTCTGTGACTTCCTAGGTACAGGTGTATTACAGGGGTTACAGGTGTAGAGAAGTTAAAAATTAAGGAATTCCATTTCTGTGGAGATAGACATCTGTGGAGATAGAATGTTTTTGTTCTTTATTTCATGTAGTGTAAAAAAAAAAGTCTCATTATTCAGGGGCTCTTTTCTTTAATTTGTCCTACAAATACTCAAAAAAATTTAACATATTTTACATCAATGAATATCTATCTACATAATTCCATCTTTTCCTTTTGCTTCTGCCCTATTTTTCCTGGTTCCCAAAGACTCGAAGGAATCTGGCAGCTTATGTTTCTGTTTCCGATGGATCTTGATCTGGTTCAAGAGAGAATTTCCCTTCTCTGAAATTCTTCAGCTTTGGGAGGTGAGACTGGAAAAAATAATTCTTACTCATGTCATGAGGATTAGAGGAATCCTAGGTGATATAGGGATGCGGTGGCTCAGTGGCTAAGACGCTGAGCTTGTTGACCGAAAGGTCAGCAGTTCAGCGGTTCGAATCCCTAGTGCCACGTAACGGGGTGAGCTCCAGTTACTTGTCCCAGCTTCTGCCAACCTAGCAGTTCGAAAGCACATAAAAAATGCAAGTAGAAAAACAGGGACCACCTTTGGTGGGAAGGTAACAGCGTTCTGTGTGCCTTTGGCGTTTAGTCATGCCGGCCACATGGCCACGGAGATGTCTTCAGACAACGCTGGTTCTTCGGCTTTGAAACGGAGATGAACACTCTAGTCCCCCCTAGAGTCGGGAACAACTAGCACATATGTGCGAAGGGAATCTTTACCTTTACCCTTAGGCGATAATTCATTTCATTTTGGGGACTGGTGGAGGAAACAGAGAAAACAGATTGGTGAAAATCAGAGTTTTGGGACTGCATTACAGTGTTGAGGGGGGGAAATGTCTGAGGGAGATTTACAGATGCAAAAAGGGTTAGAAAGACAGAGACTTGTGGGAATGCTTTCCAGCCATTCCTTTAACAAGTTCAGATTTTCATGTATACCATTCCCAGATGGTATCTCAACATGCAGCTGTCAGTCCTTGTGCTGCAGAGAACCCGATAAGTTTGGAGAAACTCGATAAGCCGAACAGAATCCCAGGTACACATTGCAAGACAGTACAGTACAGAATGAGTCTTCTTGCTCATTCTTCTCCAGTGAGAAATAGGCCCTTTAGAATTAGGCCACTGGACATAATTATTGCAGGCTAACTCTGCCTATAACAGCAGTTCAATTCTCACTGGGTCAAGGTTGACTCAGCCTTCCATCCTTCTGAGTTCGATAAAATGAGGACCTAGATTGTTGAGGGCAATATGCTGACTCTAAACCAGTTAGAGAGGACTGTTAAGCAGAGTTCCCCAACATTTCTGGCTTTGCTGACTGGCAGGGGTGGGAAGGGGATAGTTCACACAAGTGGCTGGCAAATGTGCAACTGCGCACACAGCTCCATTTATGCAAGCGGCATGCATGCGTGCCTGCTGCTCCCGCAAATGGAGCATATGCATCCTCTGGCCCGCTGCTTGGGCAAGTGAGGATGCGTATGTGCGCGAGCCTGCCAGCTGTTTCCATGGCCCAGTTGCAAACCCCTCGGCCATGGCTACAGGTTGGGGACCCCTGCTGTAAAGTACTATGAAGTGGTATATGTGCTATTGCTATAATTCTTGCAATGCACCATTCTATCAGTGGAGAAACAGTGTTTCTCTTCCTATCACCACAATATAGGCCCAGATATGTATCTGTACTTGGCTTAGGTTATATTCAGTCTTTGTCTTTCTCCATCACTTCTCTTAGTGTAAAGATAGTCCTCAGGATTATGATGGCAACTGGGATTGGGATGGCTAAGCAGTGCAGTCATAAAGCATAATGTCATGTGATTGCATTGCTTAGCGATGGCAATCTTGGAGCTCATGTGACTAGAATCCTAGGCAAGCAGGCTGGCAGTTAAAAGAGTTGCAGATGGGCGCTACAACATGAGTAGGCTGGTGCAGGAGGCTGCTAATGACTGCAGCTCTCTGATGCTGTAATTGTGAGTTGGGTACCTGGACGCCTAGCTTGCGATCACATGACTGCAGGGATGCTGCAATGGCTGCAACTTCATGGACCTGACATAAATCTCCCTCCTTCAATACCATTATAGTACTGAACAGTTGCTGAATAAAGGGCAGTAACCCAAGGACTACCTGTATTTTCTAGCAGAGCTCCTTCATAACCCAAAAGGATCCTCAGACTTGATGGTCAGAAGCAGTCATGTCCAGTGCCCCTCTTATTTCTGAGTTCCAAGGATCAATGTATATTGGATCTACCGTATTTTTTGGAATATTAGACGCACCTTAGTTTTTGGGGAGGAAAATAAGAAAAAAGCTGATTGGCAGGTGGATTGGCCTCCTGGAATAACCCCAATCAGCTGTTCCCAGAGGTGAATTTTAGCAACAGGTTCCTTGGTTGGGAGCTCTGTGCCTTGCTTTTTTTTCTGCCTCTGAAACTTCTGAAACTGTTTCGGAAAAAACTTGTTTTCCTGCCCCTGAAAGCCTCTGAAACAGAGCTTCAGAAAAAAAGTCTCTGAAGCTCTGTTTGGGGGCTTCTTTTCTGAAGCTTCGTTTCTGATGCTTTTTTCAGCCTCTGAAACCTCCGTTTGAGAAGCTGGGCGGGGCTACGCACCCAGATTTTCACCCTCTTTTTTTGGGGAAAAAGGTACATACTATACTCTGAAAAATACGGTACCTGCTGTTCTAGACCACTTCATAAATACCCCAAGCATCTGCAGGAAATCCCTTGATCCATAAGATTTCTAGGCTGGAATACTTTAATTGGAGTTCTGCAGAAAAAATGTTTAGGCAGTGACCTGACCATAGTAAAGATCCACATTTAGATAGATCTTAGATAGGTCCAACCACTTCATTAGCCTCATTGTGTTGCTGCTGCCATGTGGATAGAGATGATGGTAGTAGAGTTTAGCGTTTTCATCTTTATGGATTTTTAATGTTGTAAGCTGCCCGGACTCACCTGTGTGTGGCTCTGGGCAACCATATAAATTTGCTTAATAAACAATAAAATAAAATTACTTAGCAAGGAGAGAACAGTGCAAAGTTCCTGAGGAATTGAATAAAAGATGGCAATAAATTCATGTATGACTATTGCATCTCACTTTTCTGGGTATAGATAAACCAGGAAAGTGTTATAAAGCTACGTGGATTGAGAAAATCTTCACAATCAGCTTTTGATTTGGTCTTATAAATCTAGTTTTTTTTCCTGTCCGTTTGGTACAGAACTATATTGTAGAATTTAACAAGGATGGTCTTTAGGAGAGTCTGCTGACTTCCCCCAGTCTCAATTGTTTTCTCACAGAAATTTGGTTGAAGTCTGAGAGTGATTTGGTAAGATCAAATGATAGAACCAGGCAAGCTACATCTTCTAATTTTTCACTGAACAAGATTCATCTCAGGGATAGATGGTCCATCTGATGGTTAGAAAAGACAGACTATTGTGCTTAATTAGGCAATATGATAAATAATATTGCTAGTTATACCGGTCTAAATTGTCTTTGTACCTCTTATTCCAGGTATTATGGACAGAATTACCTTGCCCTAATTTCCATCTGCTGGTGGCTTGTGGTATTCTGGATGCAGAGAGACAGGCTCTTATGAACTCTGGTTTTGGCTTTAACGAGATTCTCAAGGTGAGGGCCAAGCAGGTGAATGCTTTCTCATATCTCTCACTCCTAAAGATAGGTTTGTTTTTTGAACTCTAAACATGTACCATTCACAGTTTCAAGTTTACAGGAACAAATACTGAATTATGCTAGTGGCTTGCTTCTGAAATATGAATGGTATATGCTGGAGAACAGTGATTTTTTTTCTGCTCAGATTGTCTGTCATTGTGCCCTCTGCTGTTATGCAAAGTTTCTGCTGCTTTGTGTGGTTAAGGAATAATGTATTTATTTCACTATATCTCACTCATAAAAGTTTCTCACTTTGGCTTTCACATCTATAATTCTTCCATGTCATTTATAACAGTTCCCCAAACTCAGAATGTGTTCTGGTTTTCAGGAAAATACCTTCTTCTGTAACATTTTTCACACCGTCCACTCCATTCCCTTCTGTCTAGTTGAATTTTACATTCATGTTTAGCAGAGTGTGTTCTTTTTGTTTGTGTCTTCCCAAAGCATATTAATGAACTGACCATGAAGATGAGCGTGGAAGACATCTTATGCCGGGCTGAGGCAATCTACAGGCAGCTGGTTTCTACTCCAGTGAGTTTTTGCCAATGAGGCACGAAGCTTTCCTACTGCAGTCTCCTTTCTGGAGCCAATAGGCAAGACATCCACAATAAGAGGAATGTGTAAAACAGTGCTGAAATAATGATCCAACTTTCACTGGATTGAAAGAATGTTCCTCAACCCGATGTCCTAAATATTGGCGCCATATTTCTAGCTAGCATAGCTGTTGGCTTTCACCTTGAGCATTTCCTGTGTTGGAGATTCATGCTGAGCAAAATGAAGAACCACCTGGTAATTTTGGGACCTGATATTATTGGGAGACTGAAATGGCTAGGTGAAGTGTTGCCTTCCCAAAAACACAAGAAGTGTTCCATCTGTCATGTGTGGTTAATGTGTGTGGTTATTAATAACAGTGCTTACAAGATCTATGGCAAAATATTGCAAAAAGGAGAACTCCTGTTCAGGGTCAGAATTATGTGGACACTGAGCATGCTCAGTTTTCATTGTGCTGCTTGAGTGTTTTTTTCCAAGTTCTTATATGCTGGTGATTGTTTGCTTTGTCTGCAAGTGGCATATCATCATCATCTTTGTTGTTATGATATTTGGCATTTTATCTGTCTTTTAAGTCCTTGCCAAGGACCTGGGATAGGTAGATGTTTAGTACAAATCAAGATATTATGTACAGTATTTTACCCAATGAGGTTTTGTGTGTGTGTGTGTGTGTGTGTGTGTGTGCATGCCTTTGAGTCTGTTGACTCCTGAAGCCTTCAGGGACAAGTCCCTGTGGTTTTTCAGAATTGGTTTGCCATTGCCTTTCTTGGCTTGAGAGAAGTGACTGGCCCAAGATAGGACTGCGAGTCCCAGTTTCCCGATTTCTAGTCTGATGCCTTAATCTCTATATCAAACTGGTTATAGCATCCTGAAGTAATACATAAAAATATACTTTAATCCCCTTTTAGGGCTGTCAAATCTAATGGCGATCACATACCATGTGACTGTGAATGGTGGCTTATATAGCATTGTATTAGTTCATTACGTCCCAGCCTAAAATTTAAGCACACAAAAGAGTGCCTACTTGACGCTTTTATTGGAGAGCCAAGATTTGAAGCCTAAAATTTATACATTTCAAGCAGGGCTTTGCACTGAAATTTTTGGGGTATTTATGTGCCATGGAAGCTGTGTAGGACCTAAGCATACTACACTAGGGGATATCTGATCAGGAAAAAACTACCTATTAAAGTCTTGGGTTTTCTTTCTGCCAGGATTTACCACGTAATGTCCAGGAACTGCTGGGCCTCTCCGAGAGCAAATCTCCCACCTCCAGCACTGACACAGCCAGCTCCCCACAGCCACTGTCACCCAGTCAGGTGCAGGAGATGGACTTGACTGACAGCGTTTCCCCAAGCCAGCCAGACAGCAGCATCGAAATTCTTCCTGCGGAGGATGCCTCCACCTCTCAGAGCCTGTCTCCATGAAAAACTCACACCGCCACAACCATCTTCTTAACACAAGCACTTTAATCAGAGCAGGGGGTGGGCTAGGAGGGAGGCAAGTCAGAGGGCCTTGCAAAGTTATTTTCTTCCTAGAGTTCAAATAGTTGTAGGAATATCAAGTCTCAATCACAGCCAGCGGGCTTAGTGTGCACAGTGTGCCTTTATCCGTAACATAAGGCTTCCTTGAAAAGTCCCAGGTCTTGGCCCGAAATTGATTTTCACTTTTGGTTTATATAAAAAGATAGAAAGGAGCAGACTAGTAGCTGTTGTCCCAGTGGTCTTCTGATTTGTATTCCGAACCTCATAAATCCTGTTTTTTGCTGTCTTGTCTTCCAACATTTATTTTCCCCCTCCCAGTTTTAGGTTTTTTTGGCAGCAGGTATTGTTTCTGCCGATTTGAAGCCGCTGCCTTGACTTACAGGATTTAGTTGGAGATGCCCAAGCTATATGCAGCTAAGCAAAAATGCAGGAAAGCTGATTAGAACAATTCCTTAGTGGAGAACTAAATATTGCAGAAATGTTCTCTCGGGGAAAAACACAGAATCAGAGATTTCCAGGAGTAGAGACCAGAAGGCCCAACTCCTAAGATATTTAGTATTTTGCCAAGGAATTCCTATTGATATGCTGCCTCGTGCTTCCTTCCCACAGCTGGAGGTTCATCTCATGGCCTGCTTGCTGCTTTCTCTTTAAAACATGATTATAAACTAACTGCAATACATTGAGGAAGGATGTCAGACTTTGTTCTTCAGTGCCTCTATAATCCAGCAGGCACATGGATCTGAAACTTTGTGTGCATACGCAGACTATTCTCCTTCCCACCAAACAATCTTTCTTGGTCCTTATCTTGCTTCCCTCCCTCTTTATAAAATACATTAAAAGTATTGTGTCATTCTTTTGAGTGTGCAGCTCTTTGGGGGCAAAGTTGCTTGGCCTGAGCTATTTGTCCTGGGTGGGCTGAGACTGGAGAGAGGAGGAATTAAAGAAAGTCTTCAAAAGGCCTTTCCAGAGCATGCATGTATTCCTTTTTATCTTTCTGTGCTGCACTTTTTAAACCAGTGTGATTATGGATTACTGTAAAGAACACTTGATTGTGAGACTCACAGCCTCATCAACCATCTCCCTTAACAAGTTTTTTTTAAATGAAAAGTGGATCTTGTAAACACAACATGTCAGCAATTCAATCCAAACTATCTATGCATGAAATGTAAACACAAACTAGGAACAGACATAGATACAAAAGAAAGCAAATAGAGAATAAAATTTTAAACAGATAAAGAGGGTGGTCAGATTGATGTATTTTCTACAATACAAAAGGATTAGTGACATCTTAATACAAACTACAGTAGCTCAAGTTTTTAAATTATGATTGCTTAGAATCAATTACTGTATTTTTTAATCTAGATCTTTCAACATGCAGCCAATCCAAAGGCTGGGAATTGACACATTTCATTAACTCTGTCCTCTTGGAGCAAAAGTCATTGATGGGAGCCATAGTGATTTGATCACCTTATATTTAAGGTGTAATTGATTGTTTGCAGAGGAGGCTCTATGACCTTGACATATAATTCCATCGTTGCTGACTTCTATCTCAGTGTTGCTCTCTTCCCCCAACAAGGAATCCACTACCAATTTAATTAAATCATTTTATTATGCTAATAGATTATACATTTTATTATGGTAATAGATTCAGTGGGGCAGCTTCCATTATGAACTGTCATAAAAAAAAAAAGCAGTGATTGACATGTCTGGTCAGATCATTGATCCATCAACAGCATTGTTTACACTAAAGATAATGCTCCAGATGTTGGATTACAATTCACATTAATATTGTCAATCTGGGTAGAATTCATGTCAGGCTACAAGTAGCGTTTAGCCTTCATTAAACAGTAAGTGGCTATCCAAAATGTCAAAAACCTTCCCTGGTTCTACCTAGATTTTGAGACTGGTATCTGCCATTGAGTAACATTGGGATGGAAGTTCCTATTGGGGTATTTTTAAAAAATTTCTGTCTGTTGCATTGATATAGGGAGGAAAAATTTGATTCCTGGCTTTGTGAGATAATAAGTTGGGTCTTGCAGGAAAATCAGAGTTTTCTGTTTAGAAGAATCAAGAGTTCTCAACTTTGCTCAGAAAAGCAATGTTGAACTTCAAAAGTGTGTCCCTTGGAGTTATTGGACAACAGTGCAGAATATAGTAGGCCACAGCTGCCTTCTGGGAATTTTTAAATAACTGCTCCAGTCTGTGCTCCTAGGATGGTAAATTGGTCTACCATCCCAGTACATTCCAAGTCAGATCATGCTTAGGTTTTCAGTCTCTGGTACACCTACCTGTTAAGGTCTATTTTGTTTTTATTTATACTTCATGTATCTAAACCACCTATTTTCCTCAGAGGGAGGACAGCAGTGGGCCAAGACAGGACTTGGAGGAACAGAAAGCCAAATGCTCCAGAAAACTGATCTAGAGGAAGGAGCCAGGCACTTGTGGCATGCTATGATAAGAAGCATTCTCCCCATTTTCATACTCGACAAGTCAACAAGCATTGATCTTGTGGGTTTTCATTGTGTAAGTTACAGGTGTTACCTAAGGAATGAAGTCTAGGGGATATCCCCTTAGGGGGCTGATTTCAGGGGTGTTCTCCCCTGATTGGGGGGGGAGATATCTGCAGTCCCTTTGGGTAGCCCAATTGTACTACAGAGAGTGCAAACCTGACTCTACAAAATCATTATGTATTACTGCTGACCCTTCCCCCGCCCCATGAGTGAAGGGTAACGGCCATAGGAGCTAACATTTTCCAGCTTCTCTGCAGCAAACCAGATTCCACTGCAGTGAATGCAGCATTGGTCTCCTTGCTTCTCTCTCCTCTCCCCCCCCCCCCCAAGCACTGCAGGAGAGCAATGCAGGGAGCCGGTGATGCAGTACTAAATGGCAATTTGTCCAGGATCACGAAGCTTGGCTGGCTGCTCGGTTTTTCTTGCGCTTCTATGCCTCCCTCTTTTGTCTTGCTGAAACACCTAGCAGTGAGCAGAGGGATTTTTAAGGGGGCGGGGGGGCGGGAGGACGGAGAATCAGGGGGCAGTTAGTTGGGAATAAAAGCATCACAATCCTGCAGATGGGCTATCTTTTGGCTTCTCTTCTTGTGCACCCCTAGTGCTTGCTGTTGCATTAAAAAAAAACCTGGGTTACACCAACCTGTTTCTTATATATTATAATATAGGAGGACTCTGGTAGCACCTTTTCTGATTAAGAAATCTTGTTAAAAGGTATAAGCTATTAGACTCTTTTTTTTAATACCATAGTTTCCTACACAAATTACAGGATAGAGTATTCAGCCAGAATGCCAGAGAACACAATACTCAATTTCCCTCTTGAACAATATTTGGGAATCTTGCCGCCTTTTTCTTCCTGTCCGATACTGCCAGCCATCATCCGATGAATTATTTTCTCTCTTAAAAGTGTTTCCGCAGTAACGTCCCCGATTGCCCTCCCTAACCAGCAGTCAAAAGTACAATTTTCCTCTCAGCAAATGCTCCCAGCTGCTTTGCCATTCCTCTAAATACGGGAATCAGGAGTAAATAGTACAAATACCTCATTTCAGTTCCAGGAACGAATATAAACCTACAGCTAAGATAATTGGGCTGCAAAAATCCAAATAGCCACTAGATGAAGGCACAGCCCAGCTTCAGTAGCTATAGTGATCTTGCGTCTCATCTAGCACAACAGAAATTGAAGGAAGCCAAATGTATTTATCTTAGGCTCTATCAGATTGAACTGCAGTGAGACTGAGAGCTTTCTTAAAGGGGAAGGTTCATACCTTCAGTCTTAGTTTCTGCGTTGCACCAGCTTGAGGGTGATCGAGGTTCTTGCAGTCTAGATCAGTGCTTCTCAACCACAGCAACTTTAAAGATGTGCGGACTGCAACTCCCAGAACTCCCCAGTTGAAATCCACACATCTTGTCGAGGAAACGCTGGTCCAGATGCCCTGAATAATTTATTTTAGCGTTCAACTCCTGCTTTTTGTTCAAGATATTCCTGGCATTATATATGGTGCTTCTCCCTTTTTAAAAATCCTCTTGACTCTGAAGATTAAACTGAAAGTGTTTCCATGAAAATGACTCTACACTCCCTCAATACAATTACTGAGTTCATGTACCATTGGAAATCTGGTTTGTTCAGGAACCACAACTCTCTGGGTTTGGATAGTGCATTAAACTATAAATCAGGATTTATTAGCCGGGTTGGGGGGGACGAATCTCACAACACACCAGGTATAAAACCAACCTTAAGCTCTATTTTTAACTTTAGCACTGCGTGTAAATTCAATTTAATTGCTATGTGACAATTTGAATCTGATCTCCAGTCTAATAATTACTTGTTATCTCTCCAAATTCAGGGAAAGTAGTAAGCTGTTCACATGCCTTTTGAGAATTAAAATTAGTTTGGGCTATTGGTTGGACTAGAAGACCTCCAAGGTCCCTGTCATTCTGTTATCTTAAAAAAATCATAACATTTGGTACAAAGGTCTAAGAAAATCTTAGTTTTCCTTTTCCTGATTTCCACATATTCCTACTATCTCAACCCATTGAAAATTTTGTGTACATTAATGAAACCAGCTTGCCTTGCAATGATTTAAAAAATATTATTGTGGCAGAATATATACATTAACATCTATGTGAACCTAATTATAAATGGAACATAATCTTTATGGGTCAAGGTGGTATTTAAAACGGCAGAAGCAAATCCTTAAGATACACAAAGTTCTTCCTTGAAATAGCTGAGGAATAAAATTATATGAGCAAAGCTATTAAGATTTACAGCAAGGACATGAAGGAGGATTAAAAAATCTTCCTTCATGTCCTTCATGTCAAGATGGTGGCTACATCTGTGCAATCAAAAGCCTGGCATCTTGACTATTTTTTGACCCCCTGCAGATGTCCCTGATTAGCATATTGATAGAAAGAACAAAAACCGTCTGATTTGGTGGAGAAGCTAGACTAGTTCACACTTGTATATACAGTATTGTATTATCTGCTTACTGCACACTTAAAGAGATTCAGGCCGGCTTATGCAAACAATATAAGTGGCTGGTGGAAAGGATTATATATTTTTAGAATGTGATAGGCAAAAAAATAAATGCATCATGGGTTTTTCTAGAGTTAAATCATGGTCAGCTTATTTTGTATTCACATAGGTTCCCGCAAGGAAAAAAAAAGGATGGAAGGAAGAAAAGCAGGATAAAAATAAAACAGATATAAGCATGATTATGAGGTCCAGGGTTCTAGTTTATGGTTTTTCTATGGGTGCTAAGCAATGGGAAGTGTATTTATGTTATTTATTGCAATTTTGTTCAAACCAGGTTATCATGCAAACCAGAGAGCAAGAACACAACTGGCTCTGAGAACTGATATACTGTATTTTGCAGATTGAAGCGTAGAAGGTATGGTGGCATATTAAAGCAGGGGAATTTCCAAATTCAACCACATGGGGACAGAATAGAGGAAGATTGTACTCATGTGTGGATCGCTCATCCCTTCCTTTTCTGACTGACACATTTCATTAAAAGGCATAAGGTACTAAATTATTTAATTGGAAAAGGTGCTATCAAACGCCTCCTGATGTTATGGTACTAGAGACTAACATGGCTCTCCTCCTCCTACAAGTTCTCCCATGTTGTCCTTCCTGGTTGCAGACACAGTGACCCTTTTTTCTCCAGCAATTTAAATGGGAATTTTTGATCTGGGGTCTGGCACTTTTTCATAGGTGGGCACTGAGCAGGGGTGGGTTCTACTTACCTTTACTACCCATTTGCATCGTGTCCGCGCAGATCGCTTTTGATGACGTTTGGGTCAGTGGGTGGAGCCTCCTGCCAGTTTTACTACTAGTTCAATAGAACCGGTCCAAACTGGGGGCAACCCACCACTGGCACTGAGGATCACACTACTTGGTGAAATGATGCCAAGTGAATGGGGCTGAATCACACTCTGGTGGGCCTTCAATTTTCAAGGCTTTAATTTGCAGCTGGAGCTGGGGGGTGGGGATATTTTTTCATTGCCAAAAGGTACTTTTTGGGATGATGTCATTTTGTAAAAATATATTTCCTGCTTCAAAATGACAGGGAAGTCATGCCACCAGATTCATCTGTAGTGATCCAAAGCGTTTCAGGGGTTTCAAAATGAAAATTTTAGGGGCTACAAATTGCTACTTCTGCTTTAAATAAAGATGGCAAAACAGATCTAGAACCTTATACAATATGAACAAGTGATCTATTTAGTGATAGATCTTCTTTCATATTAAAATTATTCTAGTTTATCTTTCAATAATACAGGAACATATAAAGCTACATAGTTAATTCTTTGCCACAGCATTTCAATTGGGCTTTTGGTCCTGGATATGTGTTGCCTCACTTCTGTAAGCCAAATGAAACAAACAAAATATTAAAAAGTTATGATATTTATATAGTTACTTACCAAGCACATCTAAATTTTATTAAAGAAACAAAAATATCTTTACAATCTACAAGGCATGTCACAACCTTTGAGCGCCCCTAATGTTTGGAAATTTATTTATTTATTTGGCAGTATTTATATGCCGCCCTTCTCCCGAAGGACTCAGGGCGGCGAACACAGGGTTAAAAACATACAATGATAAAATAATAAAATCCCGTTAAAACCAAATTAAAATCAATAAATAATAAAACCCAAGAATCAGCATCAGCCCATTCGTTGGAATAGCCAAGTCTTCAGGCCTCGACGGGAGGAACGGAGATCTGGGGCTGTCCGGAGCTCAGTGGGTAGTTCGTTTCAAAGGGTAGGGGCGCCCACAGAGAATGTCCTACCCCTGGGTGTCGCCAGAAGGCATTGCCTGATCGACGGTACCCTGAGGAAAGCAGCTCTGTGAGAGCGGACAGGACGGTGGGAAGCAGGCAGGAGATGGTCCTGCAAGTACCCCGGGCCTAAGCCATGTAGGGCTTTACAGGCCAATACCAGCACCTTGAAGTGAATCCGGTGGACCACCGGTAACCAGTGCAGCTCATGCAGAAGAGGTGTTACACGGGAGTAACGAGGAGCTCCCATAACCACCCACGTGGCCACATTCTGGACCAGCTGGAGCCTCCATGCACCTCAAGGGCAGCCCTATGTAGAGGGAATTGCAGTAATCCAAGCAGGATGTAACTAGGGCATGAGTGACCGTGCGAAGGGCATCACGGTCTAGGAAGGGGCGCAACTGGCGCACCAGGCGTACCTGTGCAAAAGCCCCCCTGGTCATGGCCGTCAAGTGTTCTTCTAAAGACAGCCGGGAATCCAGGAGGATACCCAAGTTGTGGGCCCTTTCAACAGGGGCAAGTACCTCCCCCCCCATCAAAAGTGACGGGACCTCTAGAGCGCGTGATGCCGGCAACCACAGCCACTCAGTCTTGGAAGGGTTGAGTCTGAGTCTGTTCCTACCCGCACCGCCTCCAGGCATCGGGACATCACGGAAAGGGCATCCCCAGGGTGGTCCGGGATGGAGATGTATAATTGAGTATCATCGGTGTACTGATGATACCTCACCCCAAAACCACAAATGATCTCACCCAGCGGCTTCATATAGATGTTAAAGAGTAGGGGGGAGAGAACCGACCCCTGAGGCACCCCAAAAGTTAGGGGCCTCGGGGTGGACCTCTGTCCCCCCGCCTAAACAAACTGCGAGCGACCTGAGAGGTAGGAGGAGAACCATTGTAAAACAGTGCCTCTCACCCCCAACCCCTCAAGCCGCTGCAGTAGGATACCATGGTCGATGGTATCAAAAGCCGCTGAGAGGTCAAGTAGGACCAGGATGGAGGAACAACCTCCATCCCGGGCCCGCTAGAGATCATTCACCAGAGTGACCAATGCCGTTTCCGTGCTGTACCCGCGCCGGAAACCCGATTGGTACGGGTCTAGGTACTCTGTTTCCTCCAGGAACTGTGGGAGCTGTTGTGCCACCACAGTCTCAACAACTTTTGCAATAAAGCAAAGGTTGGAGATGGGCTGATAGTTATTAACTGAGTCTGGATCCAGGGCAGGCTTCTTGAGGAGGGGTCGAACCACCGCCTCCTTAAGGGAGGCGGGGAAGACCTCCTCCCTCAAAGAAGAGTTGACAATTGCCTGGATCCAGTCTCCAGTCACCTCCCGGGCGGCCGACACAAGCCAGGAGGGACACGGATCCAGCAAACAAGTGGAGCACCCAGTCTACCCACAATCCTGTCCACTTCATCAACGGAAACAGCGTCAAACTTAACCCAGATATTACTCCCAAGACATTCCCCAAATTGAAAGTTGAACAATTTGGCAGTAAGCCATGCTTTGATGCTGAAACCTTTAAAGGACAAATACGCCTCCAAGAGCAACGTGTTCCTTGGCCTTTTGGGCAGGGCTCAGCTCAAGGCCCTTTGCTATATGAGGTAAGGGGGAAAAATCCTATACCAAGATGACTATATGTACTGCACTGGCAGTGAGATCCTGTTTTGCTATGGGCATCACAGTCTCTTTCAGGTACTCCACTCTGTTTAGGGGCTGCTTAAGCAAATGCTGGCACACAGAGGTGCAGCCACTGCCAGTTGGGGGCACAGGTGATGGGAGCAGGAGAGAATGCCCTCTTTGAGTAATGTTTTCAGTGTCTTTGTTATGTGGGGTGAATGAGGACGCAGCAAGCCAGAGTGGTTAGTGACAACAGCTCTTTATTATATGGTGAGACTCCAGCAACTGACCAGGGGAGCCAGCTCCCTTTATATACCTTGCAGCTGTGGTGGTCAGCCAATCAGCTGAGGGTCAGTTAATTCGAACTTCCCGCCAAACAAACCTATTTACATAACACTCCTCCCCTCCCAGAAGTCACTTGCGGTGTTATTTGCATACATAGTCTCTCAGGTGACTAGGGCGTGTGCGAGTCCTAGTTGACCTGCGCAGTTCAGTCGGAGGGGCGGCGTTGAGCAGGTCGGAGGGACTTTCTGTTTCTCCCTGCTCCGCCAATGAGGCCTCCGGGACCTCCTCGTGGGCGGCGACTTCTTCGGCTGTTGGGACTACCTCGACGGGGCGGCGCTGGATACCAGAATCCTCAGCTAAGTCCCCCGCTCTACTCGGGCTAGTGGTTTGTGCTTCTGGTTGGTAGTCGTGGTCGGGGATGGGGTCGTCTAATGTATCGTCGGTGTCTGTGGTTACTCGTTTTCTTAATTGGTCAATGTGCCTGCGCCAAACTCTCCCGTCCCCCATGTCTACCCGGTATGACTTGGGGCCTGTGATTTCTGTGATTGTTCCGGCCTCCCAGAGTGGGCCCTGTCCATAGTTTCTAGCGTGTACCGGTGTTCCTATGGTGAACTCTCTAAGTTTCCTCTCCCCCCCCCTTGAAGACCTCTGGGGAGTAATTGGGGTTGAGTCTATTTAGTATTCCCCGGAGTTTCCGCCCCATTAATAGTTCGGCCGGACTTCGGCCCGTGGCCGTACAGGGTGTGGAGTGCTGAGCTATTAAGAACTTGTCTACCCTTTCCTGCCAGTCCCCGGGGCTTAAGCGTGAAAGGGCCTCCTTTGCTGACCTAACAAACCTCTCAGCCTGTCCGTTACTAGCCGGGTGAAACGGGGCAGAAAGGACATGTCTGATCCCAAGTCCCGCTAAGTAACCCTCGAACTGTGTTGCGGTGAACTGTGGCCCGTTATCTGACACTAGGATGTCCGGTAACCCATGTGTGGCGAATAACTGTCTTAGCTCTCTGATGGTTGCGTCGGTGGTAGTGGCCTTCATTAGCTTGATCTCCAACCATTTGGAGAATGCGTCTACGACGACCATGAAGGTCTGCCCATGGAACGGGCCTGCAAAGTCAATATGTATTCTGGACCAGGGTCCCTGGGGCCTTTCCCACTCTCTCACGGGTGCTGTTGGCGGGTCTGATCTGGACTCTTGGCAGGGCTGGCATCTCCCCACCCACTCGGTAATGTCTGCATCCATGCTGGGCCACCAGACGTAGCTCCTGGCTAGCCCCTTCATTCTTACAATCCCAGGGTGCCCCTCATGCAACAACGTTAAAACTTTCTCCCTTAAACGTGAAGGGATAACAACCCGATCGCCCCATAGTAAACAACCCCCTTGCATTGTCAACTCATCCCGTTTTCCCGCGAATGGTTTAAATTCCCCGCTCCCAATCCTTTCCGGCCACCCCCTCATAACCCAACTTGCGACTGTCCGGATCACGTGGTCTTTGGTTGAGGCTCTCGCAACCTCGGCTGATGTGATGGGCCCAGAGTCCAAAACGTCTATCAGCAGGATGGGGATGCCGGGTGTGGGGTCTTCTAAACCGTCGGGTAGTGGGCATCAGTTGAGTGCGTCCGTGTTGCCCATGTCCGCCCCTGGTCGATGTACCAGGCGATAGGAGTATGCTGCGAGGAAGATGGCCCAGCGTGTCATCCTGGCGAAAGTGCTGCCGGGGTTGGTCGATCTCCCGCAAGGAGACCCAGGAGCGGGCGATGGTCTGTGATTAACTCAAAGTCCCTCCCGAACAAGTACTCGTGGAATTTCTTCACTCCCGAAACGGCGGCTAGGGCCTCCTTGTCGAGCTGGCTATAATTTCGCTCGGCACTTGATAGAGTTCGGGAGTAATATGCGATGGGCGCCTCTAGGCCATTCGGGAGTCTGTGGCTCAGGACGGCTCCCACCCCGAACGGGGATGCGTCACATGCTAGAACAAGGGGAAGCGTTGCGTTGTACTGGATTAGAAAACTCTCGGCTGATAGCAGTTTTTTAATGCCGGCGAATGCCCTGTCTTCAGCCTTCCCCCATTTCCAAGTGGCTTTTTTGGTTAACAGTCTATGTAGGGGTTCTGCCACTGTTGCCTTGTCTTTAAGAAAAATGGCGTAAAAGTTTAATAGTCCCAGGAAGGCCTGTAATTCTGCCTTGTCTTTGGGGGTGGGTGCTTCTCGGATCGCCCTGATCTTGCTTTCTGTGGGGTGAATGCCGGTGCCATCTACCCTGTACCCTAGGAATTCGACTGAGGGGACTGCGATCATGCATTTGTTGCGTTTCACTCTGAGTCCTGCGTCCCTGAATTTCCTTAATACCTCCCTCAGTCTTTCTCTTAGCTGGTGCTCATTGTCGGCGGTAATGAGCACGTCATCGAAATAGGGCACCACCCCGGGGATCCCACCTTCGTCGCCAATGTTATGTGGGGTGAATGAGGACGCAGCAAGCCAGAGTGGTTAGTGACAACAGCTCTTTATTATATGGTGAGACTCCAGCAACTGACCAGGGGAGCCAGCTCCCTTTATATACCTTGCAGCTGTGGTGGTCAGCCAATCAGCTGAGGGTCAGTTAATTCGAACTTCCCGCCAAACAAACCTATTTACGTAACAGTCTTTGATTAAGGTTTCCAATTCTTTCAAGTAACACAACATTCTCCATGTGGAATTTGGATTCCAATAACCTGCTAAAGACAAGGACTGGACAAAATAAGAGTTGGAATGGACCTTGGAGGTCTTCTAATCCAACTCCTTGCTCAAGAAGGAAACCCTATTCCATTTCAGACAAATAGGTTGTCCAATCTCTTCTTAAAAAGCTCAGTGTTGGAGCACCTGCAATTTCTTGAGGCAAAAGTCATTCCACTGAATAATTGTTCTCACAGTCAGGAAATTTTTCCTTAGTTCTAGGTTGCTTCTCTCCTTGATTAGTTTCCATCCATTGCTTCTTGTCCTGCCTTCAGGTGCTTTGAAGAATAGGTTGACCCTCTCTTCTTTGTAGCAGTTCAAAAATGTGAATGCTAGTAACTTGCAAACTTATTATGCCCCATTATAATGTAAAAATCACACCACTGAATGAGGATGAGCATTAATAAAATCATATTAAGAATATTATTCTTAATTTAATTTAATTTTTTTAATTTTAATTTTTTAAAAAAATTTATATGCCTCCCTTCTCCGGAGACTCAGGGTGGCTTACAATGTGTTAAGCAATAGCCTTCATACTTTTGTATATTTATACAAAGTCAGTTTATTGCCCCCACAATCTGGGTCCTCAGATAGCATTATGAGATGCTATGAAATGTTACAGGTACATATAAAGCTACTGATCATGTTAAATGATGCTACTAACCAATAAAGGAATTAATTCCAAACTGAATATGTTTGAACTGTATATAAACTATATATAAAGTGACTTCCTGACTTTTTAAGGGGCTCCTTAGCTTTTATCTTTGGGATTCCTCTCCTTGTTGATGTAGGGATAAAGAGATATTAACCTATCTGTTCAACTTGGATCCTACTTGGGCAAGGCACACTGGATTAATGGATTTTACCAAAAATTTACAGCTAGCACAGGGACTTTGTGTCCTGTACACATCAGTTATGCTTAGGTGGCTTACAAAAGGGCACTTTCCCCTCCCTGCTGCCTGTTTTTGTCCCAAAATTGTTTGTGATATGCTGAAGGAGGCAGTCAGCAGGCCTTCCTTTCTGCAAACAAGGTTTGCCACTAAATAAGAATTCTTCAGTCAGCATGTTCATATAGCAACAATAGTTGGAAACAGAGTTGCCATCTTGTCTCTCAGGTTGTCTATGGAGCCAGATTAAAAAAGGCAAGATGGAGGACTCAATGAAGCTCTGCCTGTTTTAAAATATATTGCACCTTTAAATGAGGTAGAGCTTCAATTGCAGCATCAAAGCTGACATCTTGCCTTTTTTGACCTTCGACACCTTTGTTGCCTGAAATGGCTCCCTCATTCTGTGTTTAAAATTCCGATACAGTTCCCTCTGTTTAGATTGCTATCTGTAAAGATTGAGTAATATATATTGTTCATTCACTGCCTTCAAAAGAGGGTTAGTTAGCCTCACTCTCTTTGAGGGAGGGCAGCCTGCTAAATCTTCTGACCAGGGTCCTTTACTGTGCCCATCCTGAAAAAAATAAACAGTCAGAAATGAAGAAGGGACAAATATTTAGAAATATGAGAACAAGTGGCAAAGTTTGTTTTTTTGTCCGAAGTCTCTTGCCTATGGTATGTAGAGCAGAACAATGAAATTGGACAGATGATTTGAAGACCTGTTCAGACAATATGGGTGGGGGAAATACAATATTAGCAGCCCACTATTACTTAAACAAATAGAGGGTTTCTAAAAGATAATCCCTCTACCATTAAAGCAGGTTTTAGAATGGTGACTGTTATAATCCTAATTGCTCTCCAATCTCCTTTTAAAAATTGACCTAGTGTATGTGTGTGTAGATAGATAGATAGATAGATAGATAGATAGATAGATAGATAGATAGTGTTGTGACTCTGACACCCGAGGCCGACTTATCAGAGGGAGAAGGCTCCGAACATGAAGGAGAGGAGTTGGCCAGGCCTTCCTCTCCAGGACCCTCCTCTCTGGCAATGCCTCAGGTGTCTCCCGAAGGAGAAGAGATTGGCCAGGAGTCAGGTATCTCCTCGCAGTCGGACAGTGACGGAGATAAGTCTTGGCTGGATCCACGCCAGTGTTGGAGAGACAAGCACACACAGCAGAAAAGGAGGCGTGCCAGAGATTAAGCTGAGTCACTGGACCACACCCCACAGGAATAAAAGGGGGTGAGGTGGCCATTCAGACTCTGTGACGGACAAAACTAACTACTAGCGAATCACATTGTATGTTTGAAACAACGTTATCTGCCTTGGATTTAATACGGACTGGACTTGACAATTCTTGAACTGTGTGTATCTTGTTTGGGTTTATCTGTCGGAGAAACAACCCCTCCCTCTATGAGTAAAGTTCTTGGCAAGCAGCTACTGGGTTGCTGCCAATTCCTCTTATCGAAAGAATTTGTTGTCTGCCAGTTTTATTTAACCCTCTGTTTGTGTGCATGTGTGAGATGGGGACAGAACAGATAGATAGATAGATAGATAGATAGATAGATAGATAGATAGATAGAGTAGCCTATAGGCCCGTGATGGCGAACCTATGACACGGGTGCCACAGGTGGCACACCGAGCCATATCAGTGGGCATGCGAGCATTGCCATAGCTCAGCTCCAGCACATGTGTGTGCCGGCCAGATGATTTTTGGGCCTTTCGGTCCCACCGGAAATTGGGAAATGGGCCGTTTTCGCCCTCCCCAGGCTCCTAGAAGGCCTCTGGAGCCTGGGGAGGGTGAAAAAGAGGCCTATGGGCCCACCGTGTGATCACGTGCTAAAAGCGGGGTGGGGGTGGGGGGTGGGGTGCGCGTGCATGTGAATGGGCAGAGTGCATTGAATTAATGGGTGTGGGCACATACGTGGGCGACCTCCCCAGGCTCCCCCCGCTTTTAGCACACGACGGCAAAAAGGTTAGTCATCACTGCTATAGGCCATATCAATGTACAGGTTCAAACATGGCTATATTACTTGATGTGCTTTCCATCAAGAGATCTTCCAGTTCTAAAAAAATCTTAACTTGAATGAGTTGTCTGAAACGGGAAAAATCCTTGCCTAAATATGTTTAGGTTGTAGACATCTTTACAGGGAGATTTAACTTATCGGTAGCCCTTGATTTACAACCACAATTGGGACTGGAACGTCTGCTCCTAAGCAAGATGGTTGTTAAGTGAGTGGGATCCAGTATTACAACCCTTTTTTTTTTTGCCGTGGATGTCATTAAGCGAATCACCATGACTGTTAAGTGAATCACACAATCATTAAGTGAATCTGGCTTCCCCCATTGACTTCGCTGGTTGGGAAGGTTGCAGATGGTCACTACCTAAACCCAAGATGCTGCAACCATTGTAAACACATGTCAGTTGCTAAGCCCTCAAATTTTGACCACTTGACCATGGGGATTCTGTGACAGTCATAAGTGTGAGGATCGGCTGTAAGTCACTTCTTTCAGCACCGTTGTAACTTCAAATGGTTGTTAAATGAATGGTGATAAATCAAGGACTACCTATATTGAATTCTGAGCAGTATTGAATTCTATAAGGCAATTTCTGAGCAGAGAGGCAATGGGCTATAATCTCTTATATAAGCAGCAGTGATTTTAAAACAGTGCTCAGCCTTGGCCTTGTGCCTCAGTTGTT